CAACGTTGTCCCTGAGTCCCTCAATGGTTGAATTCATCCTTTCGTACTCGGCTTTCAGGGGAAACGTTATCTCCTCTGGGAAGTAGATAACTTCTGTCTCGTACGGTCTCATCAACTTCCTGGGAACAGATGCGTCCATCGACAGGTTCGCGTTGGCAAATTCCTTCATATCCCAAACGCGATACTTCTTGGACCACCCTTGACCAGCAGTGATGATGTATCCGGCAAAAATGCCTGGAATCCCCTTTGGATCGAATTTGTTGCCATATGTCTTCGGCCTTGTGTCCGTTGGCTTGAAGAAGACTTTGGCCCCAAAGGGTATGGCTTTTCCCTCGAAGTCCTTTCCAGTCATTCGCTTCCATGCTGAATCACCATCGCCCTCCACGTCTTCAACGTTGAGGTTCTGCATCACGCAATTAAGCGCAAAGGACCAGTATTGAGCGGGCAATCCGGCGTGTAGCATGGATGCTGCGACTGTGTTGATCACTTCTTGATTTGATCGTTCAGCGAGTGAATTGTTACTGGGTTTCCCTGGAAGGGAATGATCTATCACGATCTTCAACTGCGCCATAGCTGAATCGAACTCTGGTGCTTCATCACTATACGCCATATGAATCTTGCGTCTTCCCATAAGGCGTCTGATGGCCATGACGACTTCGTCAGTGCTCCTTGAAGCCGTGGGAATCGCTGCGATCATTTTGGTGGCGATGTCCCTGATGACTAGAACTTCACGTGCTCCGTCATCGAGTCCGATGCCTGCTTCGGCGGCCTTGCGCATGTCAAGGAAGTCGAACGTCACAAGATCTCCCCAGTGTTTGATCACACGTTGAAATGCACCTCGTTGTGTTCGCAAGTGCTTCATCTTCGCGCGTATGCACGATTCGCAATATGGATTGCGGTAGCGATGAGTACACAGATGTGCCAATGTCTTAGCTTCGGCTTTCAGTGTTCCGACTCTGGCCTTGCGGCTCGGCGCACCGTCGCCTTCTACATCAATGATCACCTCATCGTCACCATCCAATGGAATTTCACCCACTCCTTTTCCTTCGTCGTCGTCCGGAGGGCGTCCGGCCTCGGACTCTGGTACTTCTTCTATAGGAGGTTCTTGGGGTTCAGGATCAGGAGGTCGTTCGTGATCATCACCTTCTTCTTCTGCTTCAATCTCGCCCGGTGCAGCTTCAGCGGCAGCTGCGACGCTGACGTCAACATTGCCCGCTGTCAACGCACCCTTGAAGATTTCGGTGATAGCTTTGGCCTCCGGATCATCATGAACCAATGACTTGGAACTCCCGGCACGAACGTACGGGATGTCACCGTTCACGAACAGAGATATTCTCTTGCCCTGCGGGTTGATCATGAATGGTTCCCTTCCGGGAGGCCACACAAACCCGTAGTTGAAGTTCATACATCTCTTGCCTATGGAAAGCACCGACGGCGTGTCGTCCAACACATAAGCGTTGATCGGTTCCTCGAACGACTCAGTCTGGAAATTCGACACGAGATCGGTATCGGTGATTCCCATTGGCTGTCTGAAATGATATGGGCTCTGGAGTCACGAGTGTTTCGAGACTGTGCTTCTCGATCTTCTTCTGAGATATGAGGTCATGACCACACCCAGTGTCCATGAGAAACTTGATCTTCTTCTTGAGGATGACTGGTTGAACCATGCATTCGAATAAGCCTTGATTGATGATCCGTTTGCTGTGTGCAGCATCGAGTTCGCGCTCAACGATGGAATCCTCACCGTCGTAGAACGAAACTTCTTCCACTCGAGACGTTCCTGGGATTCGTACGAATGAAACTCGATCTCCGCATTGATCATCATCGTCGTCAACCATGTCTCTCATGATCTGTGCCCTCAATCTCGCTTTGTGCTTGGCGAATTCCAAGCTCACGGCGCGATCCTCATCATTGATAAACGCTTCCATGTCGACGTACTTCACCTTCCGCTCTTTGTCTTTCTTCGATCTTCTAGGACACGAAGAAATGAACTTCACGTCGTTGGCAAATGTCACATTGCGCTTTATCACTTTTCGGGTCGACGTAGTCGTTCCCGAGGATTCGTCATCTGTTGAACAATCCGAATCAGCGTCGCTGTCAACGGATGGACAATCCGACTCCTCCTCATCTTGTCTTGAAGATCGCTTCCATATAGCCGGAGCTGATGGATTCCACCTTCGACACAATCTGATGGCGGGTGCCGCAGGGAGTGCCTTGGCCTTGGCATTCGGCTTCGCTGGAGCTGCCTTCGCTTCGGATTTAGCTTTAGCTTTTGCCTTTGGTTCCGGAGCTGGGGTAGCTGCTGCCTCATGCTTGAAAGGACAATTCTCTCTTGAGCACGAGCCTGTGTTCTTGAACGAGTAGCATATCCTGTTTCCTCCTCCTCCAGATGGACTTGGAGTTCTCGTCCTCGGCGTGAAGGGTCGCTCTGGAGTCTTCTTCGAGTGACTGAATGGACACTTGTCACCATTTCGACACCCTGCATCTGTGAAATGGAACTTGCAGCGGATTTGCTTCTTGCTTTTGTCACCTCTGTTGTCCGCTGACTCACTCCTCGTCTTCTTCTTGGGCTTTGGCTTGGTCTTCGCATGACTCTTCGCTTTGCTTTGAGGTAGTACAGGTGTTGCTTTATCCGGCTTGGTCGGCGAAGCCTTGACCTTTGCGGATGGAGCTGCGTTAGGCGTTGGTTTCTCGGGTACCTTGGCCGGTGCAGCAAGCAAATCCTTGCCCTCAAGCATCTGGCGCAAGCCAATTTGGGTCTGAGTGAGATTTGACTGTTCTCGTCTCCGCATGATAGTACGATCAATGATCTTCATCAGGTTGTCGTACGATCGGTCTTCATGATTGTAGGGCAAGTGTTCGTAATGCATGCCCAACTCCATCTTCATTGCGGGCGAGTCCTTGATCTTGCTGTACAAGCAATCACGGAGAGCTGTTTTGGATGGAATGTCCTCTGGTCTCATCCGTCCCCGAACTTCCAACCACGTCTGCTTGAACGTATGAAGCTTGTTGTCGCCTTGGTACTGGAGCTTCACCAAATACTCAAGAGTGATGATCATGTCAAGACGATCATGCGTTCGAAAACTTTCATACATCATCGCAATGACTTGTCGCCCTTTGATGATCTTCACGTCAGGCCTGCTGATGTAATCGTTGGCCTTCCGGTTCACCTCAAGGTACAGGTCAGCTGATTTGTCACCACCGGCACGTAGCATTGCGACCATGGCGATCCCCAATTTGACGTCTATGCTCTTGAACTTCTTGTGTCCTGAATCATTCAATGCTTCGACATCAGGGAAGGGGTTGAACGCTGGTGCCAGCCATAACATCCAGTCCTCATGATGTGGGTCGGCTGATGCTCCTAAGACATTGGCCGTGCACACGGATCGCCAGTTGTTTAGATGAGTGAGAGTAGGCCATGGAGGAACGGTCACTTTGTCGGCTTCCCTCCTGGAAATTCTCACCTCTGTGACTTCAGGATCCGCATCTCCATCAGGATCGCGTGCATGCGAACCAGGATCCGATTCAGGTTTGCCCCCTCCGCCCTTCTTCTTGTCATCATCATCATCAGGCGGATCTGGAGGATCATACCCCGTGCCGGTACCTTCATCATGCTCGTCCTCTCCGTTCTCGTCGCCAGCTTCATCACCGTCATCGTCTCCATTGTTTTCCTGAATCGTTTCAGCGAATAATCTCCACTCATCACGATCAGCTCTGAGACGTTGTTCGGCTTTCTGAGCCTTGAGTACTTCACTTCGCAGATCAGCAATCTTCTCTTCGTACTGTTCCGCGATCTCTTTCTCGATCTGACGCCTCCTTGCCTCATGGATAGAATCGTCATAGGCGACAGGGGGACCAACGAGGTCGTTGCCCTTCGTAGATGCGGTAACACCGTCAATGCCAACAGGTCTTGAGGAGCTGGCCGATGCTGTGGACTTCGATCCCAACATCCCGCGATCCCCCAAGAGTTCGCGTAGCTGTCGATCACGCACGGCTGCCGCATCACTTTTCCCATGAAATCCGCTTGGTATGCCGAACAAAGTTGCTGCACTAGGCGTGGAACGCGCAAGTGCTGGGCTGCTAATACCTGGCACGTAGTGCTCGGGCATTGCATCCGCCACGATTGGCATTGAACTGCGGCCAGTGAAGAAGTTTCCACCGGTGAATGGAATTCCATCCATCACAAGGTTCTTGTCCTTGTCCGATTCCGAGAATTCGAACTTCTCTTTGGCGACTGGACTAACTTGACTTGGGGACCGTATTTCAGGGGATCGTCCCTCACCTCCTACGGAAAATGCAGGCACTACTTCCTTTCCTACGTGCTCCCAGCCAGACTCAGTAGTCCTCGAAGACATGGGCATGCTCGAAGGTCGCGTCGCTCCTCCTTGATTGGAGTTTCGCGCTGCCTCCAATTCGCTGCGTGTCCTCGCTTGAAGATCTTCTTGTGCTTTGAGCGTTTTCCTGAGTTCACTCAGCTCGTCGCGCAAGGTAGGCAATGATCGCCTTGCATGATCTTCATTATGATGAAGTCTATCCTCTGCTTCTTGCATCCTCTTCACAGCCATTTTGCGGTACTCTTCCTCTTCACCCAGACGTTCGCGAAGCCGAAATCGTTCTTGTTCAATGGCTGCGCTGTTTCCAGCTAGCCCTTGGATCTCGTTCACAGCCCGCAACTCCTGGTTCTTGACCAAGTGGAATCGTTCCTGCATTGCTTGTAAAGCTTGTTCCGAACTTGCTGTGTTTGACCGGAGGACCAAGTTCTCTCTGTCGTGTTCATGAAGTTCATGAGTCAGACGCTCATACTCACGTGCCATAAGCTCACCGTCGCCTTGCGCTCTTGCCTCCAACTGCACAAAGTTGGTGGCTGCCTCCGTGCGGAACACGTGTAGCTGTTGAGCTAACTCCTCGGCAACGGCATGTGCTTGACGTTGTTGAGCAGAGTTCTGTTCATCCATGCGAAACAAAGCTGTTTCATAGTCTCGCTTCATCTCCTGATTGACATTGTTGATGTGCCTCATGGCTAAGCATGCATGATCACGTTGTCGTTCCAATTCTTCAGTGCGAATTCCAGATCCTTCATCTTCTTGTTGCATCTCCTTGATCTTGTCCATCAGGGTCTGGACGATTCCTTCGTATTCTTGCACCTGACTGCGATAGTACATCTGCTGTGCAAGGTTCGATGCTTCGAACTGTTGCGAAATCGTCAGTTCCTGGTAGGCATTCGGACCGTCATCTATTGCAGGCGTGGCCACGGATGACGCATCACCACGTGCAGGAATCGTATCCAGAGTCATGTCCAGATCGTCAGCATCGCGTGGTTGATTGGTAACCATCCGATTCCAAGTCATGGACTTGTCACGCCCACGAGTAGCCGAAGTCCTCGATCGTGCTGAAGAGCTTCTCGAAGATGATGGTCTTGACTTCTTTTCCAAGGTCTTGACTCCTTTGTCCTTGGCCCTGGACGTAGTCCGAGGTGCCTGAAAACCAGACGCTTCGGCTCGTCGTTCGGGAGCCTTGCCCGTCCTCGAACCTGTGGATGTCGGACTCGAAGGCGTAGATGCTCTTGGTAGACTCTTTGCTTTCACCTTGGGAACTGCCTTTGCAATGGCAAGCGCAGAAGATTGACCTTTGTCATCTTCCGTGGAGCTATCAACGTATTGCACCACTGTGTCATCAGCTGTTGACTCACCAACGGCTGGCGCTGCCACATCGGCACCGAAAGTCATTGTCGTATCTTGACTTGATCCTGAGTTCATTGTGGTCGTAGTAGATCAAGTAGTCGTTGCTGTAGAAAGGCAGAGCCGCGTACGGTTGATAACCTGCGTGGGGGATTGATCTCGACTTGGTTGCTGCTCTCCCCACCAGAGCTGTAATGAATGTAGGTGTGGCTGGCTAGCACTCTCCACAGACTGGACTCTGTCTCTCCCTCTTACTTCCACACGTGCGATCCTA